CGCCTTGTCTGCTACTGCAGCCCACAGCGCCCAGTCAACACTGCTGCTGCTGCTGCTGCTGCTGCTGCTGTTTTTGCTGCTGCTGCTGCTGGGTATGTGAAGCTCCATGATGGCGCTCTCTGCACTCTTCGTTGCTGCGTGCCAGGGGCCTCTACCCCAGCTGTCTAGCCACTGCAGCACATCTTCCTGCTGCAGCAGCTCATCTGCTGCTGCTGCTGCTGCAACTGCAGCATCAGAACGCGAAGCAACCACAAAGGGACTCCCTGCTGCTGCTGCTGCTGCTGCTGCAGCAAACTTCATGGCGCCGCTTTGGCCCCCAGCATCCCCCGCAACGCGGCTACCAAACTGCTGCTGCTGCTGCTGCTGCTGCTGCTGCTTCTGCTGCTTCCGCTGCTGCCAGTCATCCCAACGCCTTGCTGAGGCGTCTTTGCTTCGCTGCTGCTGCAGCGCCGCCTTCACTTGCTGCTGCAGCTGCTGCCGCTCTTGCTTTATTGTATCATCATCATCACCATAGGGCTGTGTACGCGATTCGTTCCGCTGCTGCCGCCGTTGCTGCTGCTGCTGTTGCTGCTGCTGCTGCTGCTGCTGCTCCTTGCTGCTCTCATTTGAGTTGCTGCTGCTGCCTTTTCTATTACCAAATTTGTCACTCGGGGGCCCCCGGCCCCCGCCTCGTCCCCTTGAGGAGAAGTTTCTACTCTTGTTGCTGTTTTTGTTGCTGCTGCTGCTGCTGCTGCTGTTGCTGTTGCTGCTGCTGCTGCTGCTGCTGTTGAAGGCAGCAGAGTGCCTCTTCAGACTTCTGGGGGCCCCCGAGCCGCCCCGTGGGGGCCTCCGCTCTGCCCTTGCAGCGCCGCCCCTGCGATGCACAGACATCGCGGCGCTGCTGCTGCTGCTGCTGCTGCTGCAGCTGCTGCTGCTGCTGCTGCTGCTGCTGTGGCTGCTGCTGCTGCTGCAGTTCCTCCTGCTCTTGTGCCTCACAGCAGGACTCTTACAGAAGAAATTTCAGCAGCAGAAGCCGAGCTGAGACTGCCTCCGTGAGGATCGATGCTGCTGCTGCTGCTGCTGCTGCTGCTGCTGCTGTTGCTGCTGCTGCGGGGCCCCACAGTCGGTCATCCCGGCTTA